ATTTATTAAATGATTTATTTATCCAAATAAATGGACTCAGCATTATCACTTTTATAATCAAATAAAAAATTAATCAGAAAATATAACATAGTAAATGACGTTAAAAGAGATGATCTTCAGGCACTACTTGTAGTTCTAAAACGTAGAGTGTATGAGGCCCAGTATGAATTCCTAACACTTAAAAAAGTGTGAACAGTAATTTATACAGAGAAATGTCTGTTTATCTTATAACGAAAGAGAGTATCATTATTTGGAGACTTCAAGCAAAAAGATGATGAATGTTCTATAAAAGAAATACAGACCTTCCCACACATAAGCAAAGCCCTTCCATGAGAACCCATCGCTCTTAACAGGTTCTATTAAGATTCTATATGACCTGTCCCCTGCCTACCTCTCTGGCCTTATCAGCTGTACTCTCACTCATCCCCCTCAGCACACTGAACTTTAAATTCTCAGAGCTTGTTCCAGCCCCAGGACCTTTGCACTTGCTATTCCCTTTGCCTAGAGTACTCTTCTCCTGGCTTCTCCTCCTTCCGGCATCTATACAGATCTCAACTCCTCTTCAGAGAGACTTTCCCCGACCACCCAGCTAAAGGGAGTCTCCCCGTCTGGCACTCTTACCACACCACCATTTAGATCCTTCACAGCACTATTTACAACCTGACGGTATCTGGTTCCTTGGTTCACCTGCTATCTCCGTCTCCTGTTAGCATAAGAGTTCTTTGAAGGCAGGACCCTTGCCCATCCTGGTGTCCCAGTGTCTCCAGCACCTGACGTGGTGCCTGACCCAGTCTGGCAAAAGAGACAGAACCTTAGGAGCGAAATGGAAGCAGCAGTGTCCTTTGGAGAGGGGGGTGGGGAATGGAAGGGACTCCTGATGGCGTCATGGTGGGGGATTGGGAGTTTACAGGAGGGTGGGCAACGTGAAAGAGAGCAGGGGAAGGCTGCTGCTTGGGAATTGTACCTTGAGTTTATTCATAGAGTATTTCTAAGAGGAGTGGAGTGGGGGTCGGGGGTGGAGAGAGAGGGAGAGAGAGAGAGAGAGAGAGAGAGAGAGAGAG